CTTTTTACCGAATTAACTGATAATTCAGAAAAAAAAAAACACTTCACTTGTTCATAAGTCTTACCCTTGGCAAATATAATTTTGCAAAGCTATGTTAAACCTAGTTAATTTACACAGAAGTGTAGCTGCAACTAATCTCTCTCTCTAATAATTAGAGGGAGTTCTATAATCAGATTTATTTATTTTTAACTAGCTCACCAAGTGACCAGGAAGATTTTCCTCCATCTATTCAATAGATTACAAACATTCCTTTTAAGCAGACCTTGCTATGCACATTTGTCATTGCCAAGTGTCTAATATGGCAAATTGCTATCACACAAAACAAAACAATTTAAGGAAGAGAGTATCACCTTCCCTTGTAAGACATTAAAGATTCTTTGCAGCTTGTCTTGGGATTTCCTGTAACGTAACCTTGAAGGCATACATAGGATAAATAACTAAGTGCGAGGTTAAGAACTGGGTAACTGACTAAGTATAGGTCTTTAAAGAAAGTAATTGATTAGAGAATGATTTGAGTTGAAGAGTGATGTAAGTGGACATGGGGCTTCAAGATTTGCAATGGCATAAGGTTTCGTTTTATGGGCTGCTGGTATTTTTGTGTTTACAGTAATCAGAAACCTAATTTTGTTTTCACTGAGAATCTCACTAGAAGAGAACATTGTCTAAGAGGATACTTACTTTCATTAGCACTTAAACTTCCTCACTGTTAACACCCCTCTGACACTGAGAAATCTCCAACACTCCTTCTAGAAAGGATGTCAAAAGGGTCATGATGGGCAGCTGAACCTCTGCATCAAGATGTTTCATCTATGGAATTACAAAAGGCTCCGCCCATGGTCCTCTGCTCTTTAACATGTAAGGAAAGTTTCTGCAAGAGACCATGAGACAACAGGACCTCAAAGGCCAGCAACACAGACAACATCCAGCTCTGTATTTCCTTTACCACAGTACAGACAGTACCATCACCCAGCTGCTCTGGTGCGGAGATCAGAACATGAATGAAAAGAAAGATACTGGTTGAAACTGATCTAGGTAACATGGAAGAGGAAAAGTTTTCAAGGTAACACCATTTTAACCTTCTGTGAAATCTCTAATCACTAGGACTGTACACAATCTAGGAGTCCCCCCTCCCCACCGCCTGACACTTGACTACTACTGCTAAAGACCCAGAAGCCTTAGCTTCTAATAACTCCTTCCATCTACAATGGCCAAGAAGCTAGACCTCCCCCAAGAAATCATTGAAATGATAATGCATGCTTTTGTCACCTTTACTATCTACAACTGAATGCACTGCAGTTGGGAATGTCAACAGGGTCACTGCAAAAGCACAAGCTGGTACAGAATGCAGCTTCTTGTCTGCTAAAATACCAACCTACAGTTAACATATCACCCCCAGTGCTCTGAACATTCTACTGGCTCCCAGCTGAATACTGGCTCAAACTCAGGGTCCTAGTCTTGTTCTTCAAAGCCCTCAACAGACTTGGGCTCAGGCTATTTCAGAAAGTGCTTCTCACAGAGATAAAGATCCACCACAACAGCTATGATGAAGAATAACAGAGGTGTACACAACTAGAATGAAGATTATGAGAGCAGAAGACAGAGCTCTTAGCAGCTCCATGGCAATTATAGAATTCCAGTCTGCAAGACCCAAAAATGACCATTTTCATAGTAAGACGCTTTGACTTTTCATTACACATACACACCTGCAAAAAGTAGTAAATGCACTAAAACATGTTGTCAAACATATAGCCCAGGAGATGGATCCAGAACCCAGGGTTTTCTCTATTGCTTTGCAGAGCTCTTTTAAATTAGAGGGATGTATCCCACCACTACACAGCTCAGAGGGGCTGGGGAGAGCCTGCGTAGGATACTGAGGAAGAAACTCATGCCTGGTTGGATAGCTGATAATATTCTTAGCCTTCGTCTTAATGAGGCTTTTAAGTCATGTTGAGATTACTCAATAGAGGCTTAAACTGAAAAGACACTCCTTCCCTTGCTGCCCATCAAGTCAGCAATGGTCCCCCCGCCCCTTGCGGCACAGTGGCGCGGACACGTTAGCCTGGCTGGGACAAGGACCACGGTGGCTCTCCCGATAAACCTGCGCAAGCGCATTGCACACGTTCTGGATGAGACATTCGAGGAGATTACCGAGGCCGATTACCGCGATGTGATAAACCACATCAATGCACTATTCCGCATCTAGGCGTGCATGCCTAACCCTTCTCTCCCAAAGAGGCCGCACCGAAAAAATTCCTTCCCGAAAAAAAAACCCGCTTAACAGGAACCTGCT